ATGATGAATTAATTATATCCACTCTCATATTATCTATTAGTAGTTCGCCAAGCAATCAAACTCAACATACACATCAATGGTCTGAAGAATCCTTGTCATTGGAAATGACATTTTTCAAAGAGGCTTCATTATTATTATTAAATTGTTAATGGGTTGTGCTTACTTCGTCGAAAGTTTGCGTTGAAAGTTCATTTCATCAAAAATTATTTCATCCTCAAGTCAGAGACCAAGCGAGTTAGATGTGAGGAGTATGGGAAGTTAGTTAAGAAATTAGATGAGGAAAGCAGAGTTTGTGGCAAGTGTGAGGAGGAATTTGTTTAATGAAGTTTTTTTTGTGACGAAATAATTTTTGACGAAATGAACATTCGACATAACAAACATTCGATGAAATGGGTGTCGACAAAATGAATCAAACCTTACTTGCTTCATTAAATAATACAAAATTAACTCTTTTAAATTTGACCTTGCATTCTGTTTAGGTTCGGTAGATACAAGTCTTGGAGCAACCACAACATCAAGAGCAGTAGATTGTAAAAGAAGCAAGTTGCATTCATGTCCAGAGACAATCTGATACTACCACTATATCAAGCACAAAATCAGTATCATTTGGTACCAAAATTTCATCTAATGGTGGTGTTAATTGCCTTCTTTAGTTTACGAAATAACCCATCGTCACCTTCCAAGAGGCTTTGTTACTTTTAGGAAACCATCTACAAACATTTTTTGCAATTACGCATATTGTGATTACGCTAACTATGCTAATTTGAATAATTGTAGTTTATTCATTTTGTTTGAAATATTCGAATTACTCGTTTTATACAAATAATTCGAATAAACTCTTATTCAAAAAGAAACTCTAATACTAATCAAGCAGTATAGTTGTATGTAGTGATTTTAATTTAGTTTTCCAGATTTGGTGACTCCAATAACTCTGATCGTATTATTGCAATATTTATTACAGTTTTACAACTTTAGGGTGTCAATGCTGAATTGTTGTAGTTCAGGTAAAATTTTAATTTTTTTGTGATACATATTTGCGGCTGAAAAAAAAAGTTCTTTAAAAAAAAAATTTTTTTTACAAATATACAAAAACCACAATGGAAACCATTTCGGATGAAAATAAACATCATGACGATACTTCTACTGATGAATATGATAAATATTCTAATAAAAGAAACGAAGAATATGGGGAATGTCCAACATGCAAAAGATATAATACTCATGAGTCATGGTGTCAATCATGTGATCCAAAGCTATTAACTGAAGGATGGACTAGTGGTAATGAAACATTAGATGAGTTGATTAAAAGTACACAACTTAAAGCAACTGATTATTTTAATGATTATTATCTTCAATGGATTCCTTATAATGATTTAACAAATATTGAAAAGATAGGTGAAGGTGGGTTTGCAACTATATCCAAAGCTACTTGGTTAAATGGTAAGAAATATGTATATGGTGATGAAAGAACTAGTGAAGATAGGATTGTGGCATTAAAAAAACTACATAATTCACTGAATATTTCTGATGAATTTCTTAATGAGGTAAATTATTTTATTTTTCTATATATTAATTTCAGATTTTTTAAATATTATTCTGAAATTTGATATATATTTTTTATATAGTTTAGAAATTATGCTACATTTCATGGTAAATCATTTATAAATAAAATTTTTGGATCAACACAAGATCCAGCTACAAAAGAATATATATTTGTAATGAAATGCATTAAAAATGGAGATCTTCAAGGTTATGAAGATCCTTACATTAGAAAAGAAAAATATGGGGAATGTCCAACATGCAAAAGATATAATACTTATTATTCATGGTGTCAATTATGCAATCCAAAATTATTAACTGAAGGATGGACTAGTGGCAACAAAATATTAGATGAATTGATTAAAAGTACACAACTTAAAGCAACTGAGTATCATTATAGTAATCATCTTCAATGGATTCCTTATAATGATTTGACAAATGTTGAAAAAATAGGTGAAGGTGGGTTTGCAATGATATCCGAAGCTACTTGGTTAAATGGTTATAAAAGTATAAATTATGATAACGAAAGAATTAGCAAGGATATGCCTGTGGTATTAAAAAAACTACATAATTCACAGAATATTTCTGATGAATTTCATAATGAGGTAAATTATTATATTAATACAAAAATATCATTGATTATCATTGTTGTAATTAAGTATTTTTGTTATTTTAGCTTGAAAATTATACAAAGTTTCATGATAAAGTATATATTTATGGGTTAACACAAGATCCAATTACAAAAGAATATATATCTGTAATGCATTACATGGGAGATGGAAGTCTTCAAAATGATGAATATTCTAATAAAAGAGATGAAAGATATGGGGAGTGTCCAACATGTAATAGATATAATACCGATTGGACATGGTGTCAATCATGTAATCCAAAGCTGTTAACTGAAGGATGGACTAGTGGGAATGAAACATTGGATGAATTGATTAAAAGCACACAACTTGAAGCAACTTTTTATAGTAATACTTTTTATCTTCAATGGATTCTTTATGATGATTTAATAAATATTGAAAAGATAGGTGAAGGTGGGTTTGCAACTATATCCAAAGCTACTTGGTTAAATGGTTATAAAGATATAAGTTATGATAACAAAAGAATTAGTTATGATAGGCCTGTAGCACTAAAAAAACTACATAATTCACAGAATATTTCTGATGAATTTCTTAATGAGGTGAATTATTTTGTTTCTTTGTTTTATTTCAGATTTTTTAGATATTATCAATTATTATTGTTGTAATTAAATAATTTATTTTTATTTAGTTTCAAAATTATATGAAGTTTTATGATAAAGTAAATATAATTCGTATTTATGGATTAACACAAGATCCAATTACAAAAGAATACATATATGTGATGGTTTATATGGAAAATGGAAGTCTTCACAATTATTTAACTAAAGACTTTAAAAATTTAAAATATTATAACAAAATTAAAATTCTTTTAAAGATTATTAGAGGCTTAAAAGATATTCATGAAAAAGAAGTTGTTCATCATGATTTTCATAGTGGTAATATCCTTCAACATAAAAAAAGTGATTTTACATATATTGCAGACTTAGGATTATCATGCACATCTAGTCAAACATCATCATCAGACAAAAATGATATATGTGGAGTA